ACTTGAACGAGGTCGGAACATTGAGATAATTGGTATCCCCGTTCATTTTGGGTGTTATGCCAGAGAATTTGATACCAAAGTTGAAGAGGGAACAAAAAGGTATATGGTCGATCTTGAGAAGGAGCAAATAATCAAGCCTAGTATTAGTATATATATACTGACTCCGCTCCCCCCTATCGGAACGGGACTCGGCTGCTCAATCGGTACCTATGGGTGGCTAATTACATCTCTTCAACCTACCCCACATACCCCAAGAGGGCCCGTGACCACTCAATGGGTGCCCCAACCCACCCGGTAGGTAGGTGAGCAGCCTAGCCTTAGGTACTGACTTGACTATCCAATCTTAAAATTCCGAATTGATGAGTTGTATGTACATGAAGCTGAGATGCCATGCAGATACCTCAGCCTCGATCCTGTGCATAAGTCAATAGCAGAACCCTTTCTCCTATCTGTCATATCAATCATATTTGTCCTATCATATAAAGCTATTGAAATATTGTATATCAAGCTGAAATCCCCTACGTCGATCATGTCTATCCGGTTGCATAAAGCTGTTGTAACGTCGTGGATCAAGCTGAAGGCCCCCTCTTCATCAATTGTATTTATCCGGTTGCATGAAGCTATCGAAATGTTGTGCATTTAGCTGAAGACCCCTCTTCATCAATATAATTGTCCAATTGTATAAACCTATTGAAATATTGTGCATCAAACTGTAGAACCCTATATAGATTAAATTTCTCCGACTGCATAAAACTATCGAAATTTTGTGCATCAAGCTGAAGGCCCAGCTCACCATTTGCGCGCCAACCTTCCTATCCGCGATTTTCAGTTCTCCAAAGATTAAAACGTGGTACCTTTCAACCAGCTCGTAAGCCGCGAAAGCGGGGTTAATGGTCAGATAATATAAATTAAATGTTACTTATCTCTATAAACGTGGGGTACATGGTAATACTTGATGATGTGTTTGACCTTGGCCCTACAATGCTAGAGCGTTTCACCCAATAAACGTTTTACTAATTGTGAGACTATGAGGTAAAAATGTATTGATTTAGATTCATCTGAAGAACTAGAATATAGGAAAGCAGCTGGTTTCCTTCCTCAATATTGTGGCAATAATCGGAAATAGAGCTCCGTAAAAGGGGATCTAAATCTAAGCTAGGGGTCGTCGGACCCTCCCGCGAAGTAAACTACGAATAGCCTCAGATCTAGAAATCTAGATCTCATACTAATCATAGTATCTAATTGTTATCAACTGCGGGGTAAGCCAGATCATCAATCATTACAATACACGGTACCCGTACAAGCTTGGAATTAGTGGTTATCCTACCACAGCCCTACACAAGAGACAAGCTGAAGAACACAGCATGCAAGAGAAGTCTCGGCTGACCTGAAGCCAAGTGTAGGGTTACAGTGCCATCGCGCCACGTGGTAGCAAAGGAACGTTGACAACAACTACTCTAATCATAAATGATCTTATTGGCTTATACTTGTTACGCCTTTTTCATGTGCTTTATTTTGATCATATTTACAATTATGAGTTTATACCAAAAAGTCCTTTTGCATTGCATATGTGATGCAACATGTGCTTCCACGACTCAGTTAAAGCGAAAATGAACCAAAGCGTCTATGAGAAACTGGCTCACGGCAAAAAAGCGTGCATACAGTAAAGTGCAATCTGCAGCGCCATCACAACGCTTCCCCGCTTCACAATTTAACCAACCTAGGGTGTCTCAACGGCTGTATCAAAAAAGCAATTGGGTCACTCGATCCGAGCCAATCTTCACTGCACACTTGATCCAATCCGCTCCCCGCATTCGATCCGGGCCGTTCTCTACTGCGGAGGGAGACTGGTAGAAGCTGAAAGAGAAGCGCCGAGATGTACGAGACGAAGTCGTGAAAAGGGACATAAAATTTCATTTATCATACAGACCATCTCCTCTTCTTTACGCCGCAGATTCTTACGAGCTCCTCAAGTCAAGCTCCTAGTCATTTTGCCATACTCACTACTTGAGTGCCGTCAATACAGCCTTCTCACACACCCGGGCCCTCAACCTTCGAAGCAAACATGGGCGACAAAACCGTCCACGGAGAATGGGCTCCAAAATTCCAGCTTGGAAATTGCGCTATTCACCTTCACCTACTACCGACTGGCAAGGTACTCTATTGGGGTCGACGCTCTGCTGTGCACAGCATGGATTATTGGACCCTCAATGAGCACAAAACCCACGTCTACATCTTGGATGTCGACACCCTAGAGAGTAAACGCACCGCTGAGGATCCGATGAACGAAGACGAGCTTTCTGTGAATCTCTTCTGTTCCGGGCACACGTTCCAGCCAGACGGTACCTTGATCATTTTTGGTGGACATGTCCTGGATGGCTTCGGGGAAGACCAAGCTTGTGTTTACGATCCCTTCCAAGATAGGTGGACGGTAATGCCTATGATGGCTGCAGGTCGCTGGTATCCTTCTGCTATAACTCTGTCTGATGGGAGAGGCCTCGTTGTGTCAGGCAGCTCACAAGATGTCACAAACCCTGTGATCAACCTGGTCCCCCAGATTTGGGACTCACATTCCAGTACATGGGGCATAGTCCAAACGCCTCTGGTTGATATCTTCGCTCTTTACCCACGGCTTTACCACGTTCCAGACGGAAGAATATTCATGGCGGGCCCATTGAGAAGCTCTCGTTTTCTGGATTTGAATGCTCATGGTGGCCATGGTGAATGGTCGAGCGATGCCGATTCGCCATTCCGCAATGCAGGTCAGCGCGAGTACGCCGCTTCAGCTATGTATGATAGTGGCAAGATTCTCTACGTTGGTGGTGGAGGTGGTGATAATGTTCCTCCCACCAATGCTGCAGAGATCATTGATCTGAACGACCCAAAACCACGCTGGGAATATACGACTGAAATTGGCCACGGGCGCCGACATTCCTTTGCTACCACGTTGCCCGATGGCACTGTGCTTGTGACTGGAGGAACCAAAGGGTTAGGCTTCAATGATTTGTCTACGGGTCAGCCCGTACATGAGCCTGAGCTGTGGGATCCTACTACTACAGAATGGTCTACGATGGCCCCGGAGGACGATGATCGCTGCTACCACCACACCGCACTACTATTACCCGATGGCAGAGTTCTTTCAGCTGGTGGTGGGGAATACGATCCGGACAATCAAAAGAGACCCAACGAGCCTAAACACACTCTAATCACCGGCCAGATATTCAGCCCACCTTATTTGTTCAAAGGCGAACGACCCACCGTCAGTAAACCGCCAGAGGTTATCGAATATGGCCAGCAATTCAAAGTCACAGTCGGTGAACACGATGTGATTGGCAAGGTGAGCTGGACACGGCTTGGATCTGTCACTCATTCACACAACATGAACCAATCGTTCCAATTCTTGAGATTTAAAACCAGTGGGACAGAAGTCACTATAGAAGCGCCAAAGAATCACCATTTGGCTCCACCAGGTCATTACATGCTCTTCCTTGTGAGCAAGGAAGGCGTACCAGCAGTGGCGCCTATCATGCTGCTCAGACCGGACGTTGAGATACCTGTACAACCACAACTGCCCCCTGGGGTATCGACACAAAATGCAGTTTTGGAGAGAAACATCGGCGTGTCCCTTGAGATGCGCAATCAGAAGGTCGTCTCAGAACAGGAGGGGCCACCTGTCATTGTTGGTCTTACGCCCACGTGTCCCTACGGTCTCGGTGCTTGCTGGGGCGGAGCTTATGAAGCCCTGAACAACATCAATGATATCAAGACCGTCCTTCCAAGACCCAATGCAACCATCTCCGTTGCCTTTGTTTACCTTCACGACGACATTCTGCCCGATATCAAAGTGTGGAAGAAGGAGCTCTTCGAGGTCGACGGTGGCACGTACAATATGCGCGGTATTGAGATGACGCTCACTGGTGTAGTTAAGGTTACCAAGAACGGCACGAAACTAACACTAGCCGGTACATCGACAAGATCTGAAGTGGTTCTTAATCAGTTCCTAGCAGGTAGCAAGCTCGAATGGGATAACGTGGCGAAGGTGCCCAAGCCACTTACCAAGGAAGAAGCCAGCGCATATACCCGGCTATACCAGACAGTAGTCTCTCATCCAGAGGGATTGTCGCTACAGGTGACTGGACGGCTGCAAATGGACGAGAACAACAAGTACTCTTTGGATGTGAAAGACTTTGTGGAACCTTCAAAATCCGGCTAGGGCCACACCGCATAGGCATTGGTGTTCTTCATTTGAATCAGAGTTATACACCATGCAGCTTTTATGATTTGGCAGGTTGATTTTGGTCGTCCAAGGCAGTGTTACGATATGCTTTCGGGAGTCACGTGGAAGGGTTCATATTGAGAGCGACAAGTAGTAGATTGAGATCGGGGTAGTCGTAATTAAACAAAAGAATTACTATTTGAGTTAAGTATGAAACTTTATATAGTATGCGCGAATAGTACGTGCTGGTCATGTGACTATAGGTCCCCTTCATATAATATCAGAAAAAGCAATCAATTCCTACCAACTCAACATCCCCCTATATTATAAAACACGATCTTATCCTCTCATCCCTCTCCTCCACCGAAAACACTACATCTACAATAACACATCTACAATATATACAAAGAACTACTCTATAACCCTATCACCTTTCCCTCTTTTACAATATCTCTCTGAATCATAACCTTATAAATTCCCCATATCGATTCGATCTAGATTCTAATACTTTTACTCTCTTTATATTATTCCATCTCTATTATTCTTCATGAAAAATTTCATGCTCGGTCTTCTTATAGTAATTTCACTCCTTCATTTATTCATTCCATCTATTAATCATATCACAAACACAAACTGTCTTCTCAATTTACATTGATCTTTACATTATATTATTCATAAAAATAAGAAAAATCACATCCTTCCCTTCCCACAAATTGCCATCACCAACATGATCTCCCCCCCTTCCCCCCCCCTCCTCCCCTCCCTCTCAACCCTCACAAAACCTTCAACCCCCCATCTCCCCCAGCCCCCAGTCCATCAATTCCCTCCCCCGCATTCCCTCCCTTACAATCCCCCTCTCTTCCACCCTCCCCCTACTCCTCCTCCTCGCATCCAAATAAACCATAAACTCCCTATAACTCTCCGGCAAAACCTGCACCTCCCCCTCCACCTCAAACGTATAATTAAACTGTCCCGTCGGTTTCGTTTCTCCATGTTCTACATTTTTAACCTTCGTATCTACTCTGATCTGCACCCTGGTTTTCTTTCCTTTCGCTTTCCCTCCCTCTCCATCATTACTCTCCATCTCCCTCTCCGTCTCCGTCTCCGCATCTCCCTCTCCCCTCACAAGCGGCCGATCCCCATATGCCAGCGTAGCACTCACATACAGCACACTACCTACTGGCACGGGATTCTCAAAAGTACTCGGATCCAGACCCAGGAAAATAGGACGCGAATGCGATATAGCCGATGCGCAGGTGAAAGCGAGTTCGAAGGTGGATTTGAGGAGGAAACCGCCGAAGATCATGAAGTTGTGGCGGTTGCGGTATTGGGGTTGCATGATTTGGACGGATTGGATGGTGGAGTTGGACATGCGGGTGCAGGTTTTGGGAAGGAGGGAGGGGGTGTTGGGGTCTAGGGAGGTTAGTGGGTTGGTGTGGTGGGGGAGTAAAAGAGGTAGAAGTTGAAGTTGATGACGAGCGGGGTAGAGGATGAAAGGGTTGGTGGAAAATGGCTGGGGTAATTTAATCAAAGTATAAGAAGATCAAAGGAACTTTCCCTCCTTGTTCTTTCATAACAATCCATCAAAATGAATATCACGCAACCACAGATCTTCCATCTTCATTCCCCCCCCCCCCCCCCCAACCTACTCGAATTCAAGCAAAATTCTTCAACACAAATGGAAAAAGAAAGAGAAATGAAATGAATGAAACGAAAAGAAAAGAAAAGAAAGAGAGAAGACACAAATCCAACATACCATGATAATCCAACGTCTTCAACCACAACCTATGAATCAAATCACTCTCCTCATCATCCGGCTCCATACTCCTCAACCCCCTCCCCAACTCCCTCTTCTTCTTCTCATAACTCTTCCTCCCCCTCTCAAACCAACCTTCCTCCACTTCCCCCTCGGGCCTCACCCCCGCAATCCTCACCGCCTTCTTTGTCACCGGATCTAGCGACACCATCGTGAAGGCACATTCCATGAAAACATCTTCTTTCCTCCTCGGTTGATTTTCCTGTCCCGCAGACGGAACTTTGCATACTTGTAGCGAGACTTCCATGCTGGAGCGCCCGGTGGCAAAGGTCACTTGGCCGGATAATTCGAGATCGCAGATTTCGAGGAGGGGTCGAGAGAGCGTGATGCGGTCGACGGCCGCGGTGACGGTCATGACGCGATCGCCGGTGTGTTTGTAGGAGATTACTCCGGCGAGGGCATCGAGATCCTGGTGTGGGTGTTGGTAGGTATATTTTTTCTCCTTTCCTATCACGCATCTCATCTCCTTGCTCTTTATGAGTTCTCACAAACTTTTTGTAAGACTCTTCTTAACCCTCCTCCCTCTTCCCTCCCATCCCATCCCAACAAACAAAAAACAAGAAGAAAAAACTCACCATAAAAATAGCTCCCAATCTAATATGTCCACTCGCCGTGATATAATTATCCAAAAGCCAAGGATCGCTCGCCAATGGTAAAATCTACAAAACCACATTATTAGCATTCAATTAACCCTCTCCCTACCCCCTCTCCTCCATAATTTCTTGTCGTGAAGAAAATAAAATCCTCAACAACCCAAGACCATCAACCTCCTTCCATCATATCAGATATCAGATATCAAACATCAAATCTCACATGACCTCGCACCATCTCCTCTTCTCCCCCTCTTCATTTCCCCCTTTTCCAAACTCAATTCCATCTCTCATCTCATCCCATCTCATCTCATCCCATCTCCCTACCACACAATCCCCCACTCTCCACTCCACTCTCCACTCACCTCCCACCCCTCCCCCAATGTCCCAATATCCCAAAACCTCATACACAACAGCCAAAAAAAAAAAAAAAAAAAAAAAAGACTCACCACCCTATGAAAACTATCCCCCATCCTCTTCATTTGCAATTCCTCTCCCTCACCCCCTTTTACCTTCCCCCCCTCCTTCCCCACCCCCACCTCCTCTCCCCTCTTCCTCTTCCCCTCCTCCCTCCTCCACGCCTCAATAAACGGCACCCTCGTCCTCATCGCCGTCAACTCCCTATAAACCCCATCTGTCTCGCACCTCTTGCCCATTGAAAACCCTCTCATACCCCCACTCCTCACCCAACCACTTCTCACCCCATTTCCCCCTCGCCCTAGCGATCTCATCGCAATCGGGAGCTTGCATCGCGTTCCAATTAACCTTGTGCTTGTGCTTGTCATTTTTGTTTGGGATTAAGGTGGATTGATTTTATTGGGAGGGGGGGGAGGGAGGGGAATGGAATGTGGGAATGGAAAGTAGAAAGTAGAAAATAGAAAGAAGAGACAAGGGTAGTGGTGAAGATAAAGAGTAAAAATGAAGATGATGATACAATATCTATCGATCAATCAGCTAGCCAGCCAGCTAGCTAGATAAATAGGTAGATAGATAGCCGATCAATATATCAATTATTTTTAAGTATCGTATTGTATCGTATCGCAATATATCGTATCGCAATATATCGTATCGTAACCTATCATAAAAGATGTCGAGTATCGAACTCTTCAATCAATCAATTCAATCAAAGTTACACAATCAAAGTAACACAAACAAACAAATCCATCCATCCATACCTCTCTAATGTACCCCCCACAACTCGGCTATCCATGTTCCCTCAACCTCAACCTCAACCTTGCTACGGAAAAATACGGGATTGGAGATTGGATTACCAGATACATAGCCGGGAAAGCATTTATGCTTGCTTGCTTGCTCACTCACTTGCTTTCTGATGACCACATCTACTCGTATATAGATATATATATTCTTAAATCCCATTTACTAGGAATCAATTTACAATTTTTACAATTTCACAATCCTCACAATCAAAATCACACACCCAAAAAATCCAAATCACCAGAGTAAAAAAAAATTGTATCAAGAATTATTCGATATAAACCCCTCCTTAAAGCCCAAACAAAACAATCAAAGCCCACATAATTTTCCCACCCAAGTAACACCTTGCCTACGATAAAATAATGCATCCAGCTTCTCGATACCCTACCACCTAAAACTTCCTCTTCTTATATGTACCTCCTTGTTTAGGTTGACTTCCATAAGGTCTCTTCTTCTGCGCGGTATCCTTCATTCCAGCCGAGATATTTATGTCGACTCTTGGAGGAGCATCGAATCCAAAACTCTTAGCGACCTTGATCAAATCCAACTTTCCAACATCAAAAACACTGCGGAGGGAGTGACTTGCGTAGGCTTGAAGATAACTCTTGTAACCTTCCTTGGCGCTCTTATTTAAATAGTAGTTTTGTGCGATTAATTTCGAGAGTTGACTTTGGATGTTGACGATTTTTGATGCTGGGAATTCGAATTCGACAACGGGAATACGGGCAGTCTTGAGATGAGTAAGGAAACCGACTTCGGATGGTTGAAGGAAGAGAAGGGAACGTCCCTTTCCGTTGCTACCTCTAGCAGTTCGACCGACACGGTGAATATAGTCTGTTGGGTCATCGGGAGGATCGAATTGAATTACCCAGTCTACATCAGGGATCTATTGAGAAAATATTAGCTTTGTCGGTCGAAATAAATCGGGCAAGAAAACTTACATCAAGACCTCTAGCTGCAACATCTGTGCAGATAAGTGTACCTTGTTTAGCATTGCAGAATTCAAAAAAGGTATTTGTACGTTTTTGTTGCTTCTGTTTGCCATGCAAGTCGAGAACTGGTAAATCGATATAATTGAGAAGTTCGGCATGATATTTAACACAAGCGCAACTGGAGAAAAAGACAATGATCTTCTTCTTCAGGTTGCGCTTGAGGAAAGAGAAGAGTAAGAGGAATCGTTTATCGGAATCGCATACGACGTAACCTTGTTCGAGACCCTCAACTGTACTGTGTTCCTTCTTGTTATCGACATTGATGTAGAGAGGTCCTGGACGAAGGGAAATTCGCGCGAGATCTTCGACTTTGGTAGTTTGTGTTGCGGAAAAGAGCATGGTTTGACGATCATCCTTTGGTAAAACCTTGACGATTTGCTTCATCTCATCTTCGAAACCAGCTTCCAAAATTCTGTCTGCCTCATCGATAACCAATGCCTTCAAGTTCTTGAAAACAAATCCTTGCGTATTTTGTAAATGATCGAGAAGTCGTCCTGGTGTAGCAATCAAAAGATTGACTCCCTTTGCCAATTTCTCCGCCTCTGCTCTTCGATTTGCGCCACCCATAACAATACCATAAGTTTGCGAATGGTGAGCCATGATTTCCCTCGCGACTCCAAAGATTTGCAATGCCAATTCTCTCGTAGGTGAGACGACGATAACACCGGTACCATTTCTTGGTTTGAATCGCAAAGAGTGTAACATCTCAACCGCAGGAATCAAGAACGACAATGTTTTTCCCGAACCCGTCTTTGCAGCACCGAGCACATCTCTTCCTGCCAATAGTGGTGGAATACCTCTTCGTTGAATTTCGGTCATCGTCTCAAATTTCATGTCTTCGACGAGGGCCTTCATGGTTTTATCAGAAAGGTTAAGTTCTGAGAACTTTTCGACCGACGACGCATCTCCGACATTTGGTAAAGTCAAGTGCTTATTCTCGTCCACCTCCACCTCTACATCGCTTTGATAATCGGTCGTGGAGCCCATTTTGAATGTCGATAGTGATTTCGTGCAGTAAGATTGATATGGATGCGAAGTCAAACTTGACGAAAGCGATTGAAAATTATTTTTATACGCTAAGAAGTTGAGATAAGAATTTGCATTGGGGCTTATCCATTGGTCGAAGTTTAATCCACAGTTAATGTGAGATTTTGAGTGAGTCACGTGAGTCTAGGATTCGACCTTCTAGACATGCTCGAAGCATGTCCCTGAGATACTAACGTTCCAATTCACATTACAAATACAAATCGAGACATCATATTTTCCTATCCTCATATTTCCCTTGTCTCTTCTCCTCTATAGATCCATGACCCCTTCCGCAGCCCTTCCCCTTTCACAAAATTAAGAACAGAAGATCATTCAGATCAAATTATTCATGTTCTCATCCTCATTCTTATTCTCATACTTCTTGCAGTTGATCGTTGGTTGTAATTGTGTGTGTATTGTGTATTTGATTCTTTTATACAAGTTTGTTTCTTCTCCCTCCTATCTCGAATCCACTCATCACCTATTCATTCACCCACCTATCCCCCCCCTCTTCTCTCTCACCTCCTCCCCAGCCTCCGCTCTATTCCTTTACTTAATCCCCTCCTTCAAATCCATCTATCCCTTCACATATATCCACCACTTCAATCCACACCTCTATCGACATCTCTCCCATATTCACCATTCATCCACCATATCACCTCTTCCTCACCATCCAACAAGCACAAATGAAACAGACCAATTCAATAACCTCCCTCCGAGTCCCATTCCCAACACAAGAAAAAGCCCAATTGCAAGACTGAACCAAAAAGCAAAGCAAAGATAAAGAAAATCCACTCTTGAAAAGAGTACTATGTCACTTAAGACTTTATGATCCTAATGCAAAAAAAAAAAAAAAACGAATCGAACAAGAGAATTACAAAATAACACCTTCCAACCCCATAAGATTTCCTCTTTGATGGTGTTTGTTTTACGTGTAAACACGTTCCCCCAACTACCATCTATCAGCCAATATATTTCAATTCTCAACGCCTTTTTATGAAGCCCCTTCATTAATGATCATAACCTGCTCCACGTTGCCAAGGACTGTTGTATTGATTAGCTTATGTCCATATCTTGAATTCATCATAAAACTCTTACCTAGCATTGCTCTGGTTCTGATTCTGTGGTCTGAACCCCCCTGGTGCAGGACTACCACTATTTTGTGATCTATATCCCGTCGACAAATTAGATGTCGATTGGTTATCTCTATATGGAGCTGGCGATGCGTTGTTCGATCTATCATTTCCATACATCAAAGGAGCATTGCTGTTTGGTCGTCCATCTTGATAATTTGGTGGTGGACCACGCGAGCCAGTTGCTGGGAAAAGAGGAACCGAAGGATCGATAGGTGAGTTAGGTGCTTCTCTAACAGATGGGTTCGTATCTCTATATGCTCCTGTACCGGCTGAAGAAGGTGGAAGTGGCGTGTTTGCTGGGTTTCTCATGGAATCCGAGGACCATGAATCGTTGTCATCATCTAAATCGAGGTTGTGTTTGTACCCAGCTTTATCGCCTCTAGCAGTAGCTCCCAAAGCATCCAACTCGGTAGTCAAGCCAGTGTTTGACTTAATGAATGATGCACGATCGTCAGTCATTGGCAAGTAACGACTGTCTGGGTTCTTGCGAACAAAGGCGTAGATCGTAGCAAGTAAAACAAGAATGAGAAGAACCAAGGAAAAGACTGCGTTGATGATGAAGAAGACAACCCCCATAACACCAGTGACGATACCTGGTTGATTGAAAATATCCGTGAAAACCAAAAGGAAAATAGTGTTTAAGAAGTTGATAGCACAAATGGCGATGTTGAAAGAATTGGTACTTCTGTCCATCCATGGTCGAATGACGCTAGCTCCAATTAAAGCCGCTGCTTCGATCAAAAGAAGAGCAATAGCTTGGACGGTAGATGCGTTTTGTCCAAATGCGATGAACATTCCCTTGATCAAAATGTAAATCAATGTGGGGAGGATGAAATAGTAAGCCGTTGCTCTGAATTGGACGTAAAGGAAACCCCATTTGTTGAGAGCCGAAGGATCAGAGTAGAGAATGTAAGCTGGATTCTTGTGCATCAAAACCGATCTTTTGGCGATTCGAACAACTTTCATAGCTGCCCAAGCGAGAGTACCTGTCATACCAAAGAAGAAGAAAATGGCCAAAACGATCTCTGCGGGCGAATCATTTTGGGTGAATTCCCAAAGACATAAAATAGTCATCTGAGGGTATCCGATAAGAACCATGCGGAACATGATACCCTTGAGAACAGTAAACCATCCATTACGGAAATCTAGGAACTTATCAGACTTCATCCACTTCATTCTAACCGCAAGTTCACAGAATCCCTTGAACAATGCAACAAATAAAATGGTGAAAACAATGAAAATACAGAAGAAAGCAAGACCAGTCAAGAATAAATTGGTCGATTCGATACCGGCACGGAATGCTACTCTCTTAATACCTTTGACGAGATACGAACCAGTTGTTGTAGTGGTATCGGCTCGTTTCGTCAAGATTTCGTGTGCTCGAGTAAGAAGTTTGATGGTGTGTTCGACTGATCTCTTTCCCATAGAACGTTTCTCGACTTGAACGGAGGTGGTGGTTAAAGTGTTCAAGAGTGTGGCTGGAGTTCCACCAGTCGACTTTTGATACCAAGTTGCAATGCTTTGCATGAAATCAACCTCGATTATACCCATAGTCCAATCAAAGTTTTGAGTCCACGATTGAACAATAGGTGGAAGAGGAACCGCAGTGAGTCCGATCATAGCTTGGGCTTGGAAGTATCCAAAGAGTGACAAGGCGTTGGATGCTACATGAGCAGCAGTATTTGAATGACCCAATCCAGATGTTACAGCAGAAGCGACCAAAGCCAATCCAGCGATAACAGCAGTTGCCCATCCTACACCCTTTTGATCGACGGTTTGTCCGTTTGATAATTGGGCTTCGACACATGCCAGACTAACGTCTGGGTTCGCTGTACCATTGATAATAACTTTAACATTAGCATCCAAATCCGGTACTCCGTATGCGATTGATGGAATACTATCAACGGTAGATTGAGGGACCACAAGGTTAGATTTAATATCGATTTGACCGGTACTCATTGGGCAGAGACCAGAGATTCCAGCAGTACATGGATCGATGACCCTATTTAAAATGGGATAACCATAAGCCGTGACTTCAACATCGAAAGTAACATTTCCTTGAATCGAAGAAACACCAACTACGTCGAATGTGAAGGTTAAATTATCAGGTGTGAAGATGACGTCGAACAGTGTTGCCGTGAAACTCGAGTTGTCCTGACACGCGTTCAAGGACTTGGATTCAATTAATCGAGTGGATGCTGATGCGACCGATAAGAGAGTAAGAAATGAAGTCAGCAAGACCCATGGTGATGATGAGAATGTCGGTCGCATATTGAAAGATCGCAATATTAAACGGAGCCTATGAAGGCTTTAATGTAAGAAGAATGAAGTCCGTAACACCCGAAGCCTTTTTATTGTGCAGAGAGGAAGCCTTGTACTGAGTGATGAATTGTGTGTTTCCTTGGTTCAATGTTTCCCTTGATCGCAACCCCTTTGTATATGACCTTCTTTCGATGGGATAATTCAATTGATTGATCGTGTTGGTAAATATCGTAATGGGTGAATGAGGAATGGTTTCGTCACTGTTTCTTTCTTCCAAACTCCAAAAAGGCCGACAAAGATTCTATTATTGAATCATTGACAGACTTGGAATGATTAGCGACCGTAAGTAATTTCGTAGATCCAGCTCACGAGGGATTTTTTTTGTTGATAAACGAGGGAAAATGTATCTCTGCGAAAAGAGATGGAAATGACGACGAGGAGATTGTCGGAAGAAGAGAGAAAATAACGAAAGGAGGTCGACGACTAGGTTGATGACCTGGGTCTGTTGGTGGTCGTCGATTTGGTGAGATGTAGGAGGTAATTTTGAGGAGTGGGTGGTAGTAGTGGTGGGTGGTGGAGGTTGATGAAAAGGTTAAAAAAAGAGGAAAATGAAATGGAGGAGAGGCGGAGGAGGATGGAGGTGGTGGTGGAGGCGTAGTATTTTGGTAGTAGGTAGGTAGTGAGAGGTAAGGTGATAGTAGTAAATAGGTGTCGTGTAGTGAGTGAGGTAAGATAAAAATAAGAATAGTAAGAATAGTAAGAATACGGTAGTGAATGAGTGAAGTGAAAGATAATAAAGTTTCCAGGTTTATTAGTAAGGTTTTAGGTATGAGGATGAGGTGAGGTATGAATTAAGTGAATGGTCGAACTGTAATGTTTTTTTTTTTCTTTCCTCTCTTCCCTCTTCTTCTCTCTCTTCTCTCTCTCTCTCTTCTCTCTTCTCTCTTCTCTCTTCTCTCTTCTCTCTTCTCTCTTCTCTCTTCTCTCTTCTCTCTTCTCTCGTTTTGAGTGGTAATTTGTAATATGTAAGAGACGCCCAGGTGGTGACGAGTAAGCATTGTTATTAAAGGGAGGAATGAAGGGTCTGATACCCAATCAATGGATTGAGTTACTAGGCCGTTGAGCTTGGAAAATGTGTACCAGGTATCGTAGTCATAATGTCAAAGTAATGTACAGAGGCAATGCAGGCAATGTAGGTAATGTAGAGAAACCTCGTATTGGATATAATCAACAGAATAGCAAAATAGGTAGATTTGTACGAGTACGAGTAGGTACGAATGGATGAGGATGAGGATGATAGTATGACTATGAGTATCGGTATTGTGAATAAGAATAGGAATAAGAATCAATTATTATTTAGTGGTCAATCATTCCTGTTATTCATTCAATCATTCCTGTTATTCAATCATTCATTCAATCTTTCAATCTTTCATCCATCCATCCATCCATCCATTCCAGTTTCCAGTTTGATCTAATAAACTGACTACCAATTCAATGCCAGTTAATGAAAACTTTCCCAACCCGTGAATTCCGTATCATTCTCTCTCTCCTTCGTTCTCTCCTCTCCTCTCCTCCTTCACTCTTTCCGAAATTAAAGTGATGAGAGTGATTAATCAGAGGTGGCTGAGTTGATATTATAAGATTGGGATGAGATGAGAGGTATCGTACGCTGTTGTCGTATATTGCGTGTATACCTGTGTGTTGGAACTTTGGAATTCATATACCGGGTTGATTGGAGTTATGAAGGATGCATCGGATGGGAAAGGATTGCATCTACCGTATGTATGTATTACATCTATTACATCCACCGAATATACCCATCATGTATATTTTGTAGCAATACCAAAAAAAGATATAATTTAATACGAATCCCTTTGCAGAAAGACAAAGAGTATAAAAAGGAATCTCTTTTCCCATTTTCCCATCTTCCATTTGCCGTACAATTAGCTACGACCTTCTCACATCCTTTCCCTCTGTCTCTCATCCCTCTCCCTCTCTTCTCCCTTATGTAATAACTCACTCACCATCTCCCCTTGTCTAGACCCAATCTCCCTCACGGAATATGGGGATCTTTTCTCACAATCCCAAAAAAAACCCAGATTCCAGGGGTTAACATCAACAGGGCTCTCGCAGAAGGTACCTAGTAATGTATAAAATCACCCCCCCAAAAACAGGGGCAAAGATATGCAAGATTCAACGAAACTCTGGGCGCATGGAGATCTCTCCGAAAAGAACGGAGAAGGAAAAATGGATTGGAAATTTGGGTCCTTCTTGGGTAACAAACATATGGAGTATCTGTATCAAAGATCAAGAGCTTAGATAGATAGTGAATGGGAGAAATTGAAACAGAAATTGAAATTGTTGCGAAAGATTCTTTGTTGATGTGATGGGATGGGGAATGAAAGTCTGATTCAATGATTACGTGGATGACTTGTTAGAGTTTTGCTTCTCCTATGGATGGAATAGTAATACCTACTAGGTACCTATCTATCTACCCAGGATTCAATTCTCTAACTCCTCATCCGTCAGATATGGAATATGTAACAAAATACTCCCGACTGCAAACAGCTGAAGAGTGATATTGATTTCAGATGCGTATCGATCCATATGTCTTAGATATATATATGTGGCCACTAGGGAAGGAAGTAGCTGAAATCAAAATCACCTCAAATGAATCAAATGAACCCATCCATATTTATTATAATTTATCCCATTTCATTGGATTTCATTTCATCCAATAACTGGTACTTATTACCCCTCCGATACTTACTTAGGTAATTATCCTTCTCGTATTCTTCCAATCCTATCAAATCTCATTAATTAAATCTCCCTACGAGTAAACACCCCTCCGTTCATCTTGGCATTGTTTCTAGATTTCCATTCATACCTACTTATGAGCTAAATACTAAATCTCAAATACAATCCATCCAAACATCAAGTCTCTCCCTTCAATATCATATCAACATCATCTGATCTCCCATCTCACTCCATCTCACTCCATCTCACTCCAACTGATCACACTCCAACCTCTCAAATAGACATTCCATTCCTCAGCAGCAAACCCTCACAACATCATCACTTGCCACAAGCCATCAAAAACTAATAATCACATCACCATACATAGGTACATGACAGAGGTCTCCATCCGTATGCAACGCCTCATGCATCATGACATCCGTGTACTCCGTACAGTTCCGTTCCGGTTTCTAGACCAACCAACCTCGCCAACCAAACGCCTGGCCGGTTGGTCTATAATTATCTCAGCTAGATGCATACCTTGATATGTTGATAGAGTAGAGTATTGATTACAAACTCTGGTTTTCAGATATCGTAGGAAGGTAGGTAGGTAGTAGGTATCCAAAAAATGATTTTAAATCCTCTTCTAAAAGTTATTTTATCATCTCTATACTATCTATGCAGACAAAACACATCAAACCTATTAACTTGATTACAATATAATTATACCCAGTCATTCCAGCTCCAGCTCTCTCCAACACATCCAAAAATACCTATCCAAAGCAATAACCATCTCCCGTTCCAATCCATTTCTACCTCTACGATAATTCCCACACCCAAATCCATCGGCAGTTCCTCAATCCCCTCACTCAAACCTTACCATCAATCTACCCACCAACTTATCAAGATATCTAAGAATGTGCATACCAAGTACTCCGTACATATCTATCCATCAAATCCACAAGTACAAACGCACAAACAAAGAAAATAAAATAACTCAAATTACTCCTAGAACTAATATTCGCTCGCAGCACAGCCTCCTTGAGATGTTATTATCTCACACTAAATACCATAGGTACTCTACCTATCCTATCCTATCTTATCTATTCAATTCTCATACCAGTCCAGTCTAGTACCAGTACCGGTAGTTCCGGAAGCTTATAAGCAATTTGTAAATGATTTTATAATCGATTCGAGTCGAGTTCTTATGAATAAATATTCGCTATCTATTATAGATGGATAGATAGATAGATAAATAAATAGATATATAAATTCTTAATCTTTTATTTATAGATTCTATCTATCTATCTAGATATGCAAATATAATATAATATAATAATATACAAAATCAATCATATCTATAATCACACTCTTATTTACTCCCTCCCTCCTCCCCACCAATAAATACACCATCACATGACAAATCATCATCCCCAAGAGTCACCCCAAGAGTCACCCCCAAATTACGATAGTCGTCGATCAAACAACTCTCAAACCTTCAAACCCTTCTTTTTTTCTTCAAAGCGCATACGCATGCATATGGTGATATGGTGATATGGTCTTAAGAATTAGGTAAGATACTCCGATCTTTATATTGTGTTTGTTAAGGTTATATTGTTTCTGTGTTATGAGTAGAGAGTAGAGTAGAGTATGGTATGGTATGGTATAGCATATTTGATCTGATTCGATTTGATTTAATCTGATATTCAATCCGATTCGATTTGATTCGATGTGATCTGATATTCAACCCGATAAATCAATCAATCAATCAATCAAGAAACTCCTATCCTTCAGATGACCAAAGTACTATCCGCTCATCCATTCATCCATTCATCCATTCAACAACCTACTATCTAGGTACAAACCACCCTTAAATCAAGTGATCGAAGAAATCGTCTTCTTTCTTCTTTCTGTTCTATTCTTTTAAGTTTTACTTCTTTTCATCTTTTTTGGTTTTTTGGGGGTTGTAATTAGTAATTACTTGTATACTCTTCTCATACCTAAGTAGATATGTTGAGTAGGTAGTAGGTAGGTGAGGATTTCTATCTATCTAAAAGTCAAACCAAAATAAACAAGGTTTCAAATCTAATTCGCGATGCGAAATCCTGTGGTGATGTGGTGATGCGGGAGGGATATCCGCAGATGTGAGGGATTTGGGAGGGATGGGAATGCTGGGTTGTGATGGATGGATGGATGGATTGGATGGCCGGCGGTTATTTAGGTGCGGATGTGTGGGAACGAGGAGGATGAAAATGAAGTGTCATGTGATAAGAGGGATGGGAATGCGTGTTGTGATTTGTGATTTTAGGGGAGGGAGGGGTTTGGGATGCGGAGGGATGAAATGGGTTCTTGTACTTTGTGTAGATAGATAGATGTGGGTTTTGTTGTGGATTTGGATTGGATGGATGATGGGGATACTGGGTGTGTTTTTTTTTTGTGATCGGTTTGTATATAGTCTATTCTACAGTCTATCTCGCGTGGTTGGGAGCGAAGGGTGGTTTCTCGGGGTTTGAAGATGTAGTGGTTGAATTTTTTGTTTTGTTCGTTTTCTTCTTCTTCTTCTTCTTCTTCTTCTTCTTCTTCTTCTTCTTCTCCTCACTCAAGAGATCCGAGTTGGACATTAAAGAGAACGATTGTACAGCAAGATCGATACCGATATTATCTGACTACAGAGTGGTGTCGATTTTGGGGACAATCAAGTACGCTGATTTTATGATGAGTTTTTGGCTGAAAGAAAGGTAGCACTGCGGAGAGCAATGTGAGTGGGAGAGGTGGTTTCTTTGAGATGGTTGCTTCTTCGAGATTGTTGCTTCTTCTTTTTTGATATAGGAGAGATAGCAAAATTGAGAAATTAATCAGATGGTAGAATGAAGATCGGGTGGATAGAGTAAGATGCTCTCTTATCTTCTCTTTTCTTTTCGATCAATTTGTATATAGTCTGCCTCCACGGCAGTGGCCCCCGGAGGGCCAGCGGAGCGTCATTTCATCTTCATTTTATCTTTATATGAAAAGGAGACTGGTTTATTTTCATTGAATGTTAATATGACTCGAATTAGTGTTCAGTCTTATTTGATTTTCTCTCTCGTTTCTTTACTTCTGCCCTGATTGACTTTGCAGTGGGCTAATTGGGAATATTTCAAATCTCTCCAAAGGTGTCTTCTTTTTCGTTTGAAAGATCACAACTTCGTCTAGTTTAAAGTTGGGTTTATTATTTCATTCATGATGTTTTTTTTTTTTCAACTTATCTCGTATTTTCATGTTACGATCAATCACAAGGTCTCAACCAACTAAAATTCGAAAACACTCTTTGAAGATTTTCTTGATACAACGATATTGATTCCCAAAATACAATACATAAGTATGTATGTAAGCTTACAAACTGAGGAGGAGAAACGTTCTCGATAGATCATCTATTGGTCCATCAATCTAAATGTTGCAACGAGCTCACTCAGTATTCTGCTGTCATAATCTAAACGCCACCAGCATACAGTGTATAATGCACAAGCGGAGATAGATTACAGAGTTATAATACCGTGCGGTTAGACTATTATGAACTGTGACTTGCAAGCCCTAAAAAGGTGTTCATTATGACCGAATATGATTCTAACAGTTGGATGGTGATGACAGGTCATAATTTATTTTAGAAAGGAAAGAAAGAGTGTTTAAAGGGACTTTTCTTTTATTCTACTGAAACCTTGTATATTCGAAACCAGGATTATCATAAACCAAATTTGGCGAGGGTAGTAGTAGGCGCTGGCTCCCACATTATAACATTCCAACACTGTGAATTGTTACTTAACGGCACAAATGTCAACTCACTTCATGTTCAGAACCATCCGATTTACTTGATACCCGCGTTCGATATAAAAGCTCTATTCTCGTGAAGAAACTTGGCTTGGATCTCATCACTCTTTATTATATCTATCGCGTTCGCCCTGGTTCCTTGTGCGAGAATAGCGCATGGGGGAGTTTAGTAGAAGGTGTACGAAATTAAGTCGTTTGTAGATTTCTTCAGTTTTTTCGCGGCGTTTCGAGCGGGATCTTGGTATGGGGGTTATTATCTTTGAGTTGAGTTGAGTTGAGTTGAGTTGAGTAGCTGATGCTACCTACTCGGATTCGTTTGGTGTGTTTTTTTTTTTTGGTTCTTTCTGCGCGGGTCATTGGCTGGGTTGATTTATAATGGCTTTGCAGCTTTTCTTTTGGGGGGTCTTGGGTCTTGGTTCTTGGTTCTTGGTCGGGAGGCTTTGGATGGTGGATAGGATGGGTTTGTACTTTTTTATGATGAGCTTAGGTTGTGCCACCAGTGGGTGTACGGACTAACGGCACACTGCAAAAATGGACTTGCGAATACCTCTTGATATATCAACTTGCATAGTTTGGGAATCGTTACGATTGTGTATTTGAGATGAGAGAATGAAATTATAGATTCTGATATCAAGCAATCGAAGAATGAATTTGTTATAAAATTTCGATGGGTGGGAAGTGTCCCGTCAATCCATGCACCCACCGGTGTGCCTGAAAGAATCGTGATGTCTGAGTAGATGTCGGAATTGGTTTGCTGAGGCATGAGATATTGCTGGTTAACACTATCGTCTAGAGACCTCGAGGACGCGCGTGGATTGCGTGGTTTTGTGATTTCATTCGTCGACTCTCTTATGTGAGGCCAGTTGTGGATCTTCTCTCCATGGCGGGATTCTTGACGCTCTGTTTGGATTGGAACTTGGTCTTGATTGGGCGTGATGATCTACTGATGAGTAATGATGTTTTCTTGAAATCTCACGGCTGTCTGTGCATGGTAAGATCTTAACATTTCTGCTGATATTTTTGATATGCTTGTGGGTAGTTGCAAGGACATACGTGAATCTTCTCATATCTGGGGGATTCTGGAACTTGGCGAGAGGATGCTCATAGCTGAGATTATGGTCTTTACCGATTGCTTGGGCACTGGCTGGTTCCTGGTTTCATGAGAATGAGAGATAGATTTGACGGGATGGGATGGGATGGGAATGGATTCACGAGGTTTTCTGGGATCGTCCAAGGCAAAAGCAATGAAAATGATTCGGTGCTATGTAAATCGAAGTACATATTAGTGTTGTGATTAGTATTTTCCGTGTTTCAATCACGCCCGTGCTAAAGTGGTACATATGGATGTATATGGAGATATTTTCGTAATTATTAGTGAATTATGTACACCTCCTTTCCATTGGTAAAGAGACTTATTATCTCTTTACACTCACAACAACTCTTAATAGTTGTTTATTAAAGAGTTTTAGTATGACGGCCATACCGTATGTCTACTTCAACAGTTAGGTTTGATAGATATTTGCTTCTGATTCGACTTCAGAAAACCCAGCCAGGTAGTTTATAAAACAAAAATTGTATCTAGGGATACAAAATATTTACTTAAGCCAAAGTAACATCTCTATTCGCTCATCTATATAGTTTATTGAGAATATATTGGGCTTGGTTTATTCCAGTAAGATATTGAAAAGTAGATATTATTACTAATAAAATATTCATTAATATAAAATTGTTACTACTTTTTGATACATTTAAGTCGAATTCTGTCTTAGTTATTGAACTAAAATAAGACTTAGCCTAGGCTTGTGATTTTACAACCTTCTTTCACTGTCATTGTAGAATAGTTTCTTGGTATTCTTTTAGAGCTAAGCTTGTTTACCTTTTTCGAATAAGTTGTATCGCCACGATATAAAGTCAAATCATTAAAAGATTGCATAGTATAAACCGCAGCATTACGGGTTTTACGCAGGGTTTTTTCAGACCCAATGTGATCGATCGACCTCTCAGTCTCGACTACGGAATTTCAAGCTAGTTAAGTCATTACCTTAACTACTACCTATCCGAAATATTTATTGTCCTCTTAAAGCGGAAATTTACTTCCTTTCTTCTTCATATTTTTATAAGGTATTTTACCTTACTTTAAGGCAGCCAAAATATTAAATACTCAGAAAGGTATATAAAAAAGATACAGCTATAATAGATTTCTCCTACAATTAGGTTTGGACGGATTTTCGATTAAGAGAACACTCGCTTCGATTAATTTGCCATAAAAGTACTACAATACTAGGTATGTATGCTGAAAGAATCCTATATTTTGATAATATCGAATATCACTAGTAATATACTGAAATACGGGAAGTTACATATTTGTACTTTGAATTTATGAATTTTGAATAGTCTCTTTTCTGATTAGACTTGAACTCATTCAAAATATATACGACAAATTACTCTCGTGCTTTTCAAAAGTGATTTAGTTACTCTTGTACCCTAAAATTGAGAGGTGATTTACTCTTATATCTCTTAGATTCTACCCCCCTCGTATGGAATTTAGCTTAAAGTAGCTAGAATCTATTCTTCTTTAATTATAGAATCTAAGGGGCATGAGAGTAATTCGTCGAAATATGTAACATTCGATTAGAAATATGTAACTTCCTGCGTTTCAGTATATCCCCAGTATATACACTTTCCTATAATACGTACGGGATGTAAATATCAGTGGCTAATATACGCACTAGTGTACGTATTACACTCCCTATATCAGCCGCAGTAATACTAGCGTATACTAATAACAACACTAGTACACATACCCAGCAGCAATGACCTTGCGTGTGCGGGTTCCGACCAATCTTGAACCATCTCCAGGGAAATCGACAAGAAAGCATGGCATATTAGCCTCTGAATCATGCCATATGTAAATCGAATTGATTGCCTCGGTGAGTTCGTGCTGGTCTACTTTGAGATTCAGCAAGTGTTAATCCAGACATGTGAATATCAATCACTCCATGCTTGAGTGTAAGTGTTTTCACATTTGGCAAATCCTGGGTTCTTTGCTGCCCTCGCGAGGTTACAATAGATCGCTGAGGTTTACGTCGTCTTATCTTCGGCCCACGGGTGGGACAGGATGGAGTACTCTTCGTGGGGCGAGTAATAGAACCGCGGGAGACAAATATTGCTATGGGTCTTCCAATATACCAACGTCCATGAGGTGGATTTTTGGACCTTTCGTGATTCATGAAGCCACAGATGTGGTCAGGAATGTGACTTCGGTACAATAACAGACCAGTAACGAGCGGTCAAACTTTCGAATATCTTTGAGGGTGATCATACTCGAATAGGGGAACTTTTCGCTTGTCTTAGCACTGCCCATAATGCTTTTACGGGGTCATCTATAGAGCATTACGGTTTTCCACCGGAGAATTTTTCCGTCCGGTGGAGTCCTCACACTATGAGTCCCGAAATAGATCATCGGATGCCAAGCCTGTAAATTTGAAGCTTAAAATCAAGCATGTTGTCCCAATTAACTATTGGAGGTTTCTTGGCAGACTGTCACTTATCATCCTCAAGGGGATCTTTGCATGCGCTCCATAAAGTTTTGCAACGCTAGGGTCTTGGCTCTTGCTTACTTCCCGCCCCACCCAATACGGGAGGGATACCGAGAATCATACTTTCATTACCTTATTCTATGCCCGCGATGGCTCATTCTCTTCCACGTTAATCATTTCACCACAAAATTGAGTTTCTTCACCTTTAAGTTGAATAATGGCTGTGCAAATTGCAATTTGTGCAACTCTGTTTCATTACTGGCACGTGCGTCTCATTGGGGGGGAGTGGGGATTAACCTAAACAATGTAGTCCTCATACATAAGATGATCTGGTACATGTGCGTTCTTCCCCATACTACATTCGCTTGTCTAGAGAAAATGACATTTCTCTTCCCACCACACAATGGCGTGAACGTGTCAGGCGTCAGACTTTAGCACTGATCGAGAAAAACTTCCTCCTGTTTTCTCAGATCACCATGGGCAACTCTCTTTCGCGCATTGATCCTGCCAATAGTCTTCACTGCATTATTCTGTTCCGGTGGAAAACTCACCAATATTTCATCCACGCCGACCGAAGGTGGAATTGCCGACTCTTCACAGCAGATTAAAAGTCTGAAAGAAGCGCTGGATGGGGTTCCCCTCAAGAAACTTGTTCTTTGCCGGAATGGATTCAATGGAACGGAACTCAATTCGATCATAGAGACTGCGGTACAAAGGCCTCAGTTTGGACAAGTGGGTTGCTATTGACGATGTGGATGACTTGTATTACACTTGTCTACAATCACGGACTGGCATGTCCAACTGCTTCGCTGCTGTCATCTTCACCTCAATCAATGCTACCAATGTTGATTATATCATCGCCACCGACAGCGCTACAAGCCTATCGAGTACCGACTTTGCAAAGCATGAATCCTTGAGCAACGACCGCCTCCTACCACTGCAGTGGGCTATTGATTCTAGCATTGGGAGCTTCAGTAAAACGACTCCGCCATCGGAACTTCCCTGGTCTGGATATTTTGGGGACCAAGCAAAGGATTCAAGCTCACCACTTGATTCCGCATCTTGGTTTGTGGTAATTTACTACTTCGTCGCTCCGGCATTTCTCCTCGCTTTGATTGGTGTTGTCTACCATGCCAGTCTCTTTGTGGCATCGGAAAGAGAATTGGGAATTACCGAACTTCTAGATGCACAAACATGCACGAAAACACCTCGAATTTTCTCCACCATTGCTTCTTTTGTTGCAATTTACTCACCGGGATGGTTCGTTTGCTCTATTCTCATGACCCAGCTTCTCTTCACGCGTTGCTCGGATGTCCTCCTCCTGTTCCTCACACTAATAGCTGGGACATCTCTCACTGTGGTAAGCAAATATTTCCTGTCATCACATCAAAATCCTTCAGGAATCCAGACTTGAGGGACGTAATTCAAGATCTGCTTCTTTCAAATGCAGTCGTTAAGACTCATATTTTCAGTTCCAGCTTCAGCTCCATAATCTTTGCTAATACTATTGCAGTGGTCACTGTTCTTATCCTCATTTTTCAGGAAAGCCCAGCTAGCAGGACTTTATACTTCCATTCTCACATTCACGCTGGCCTTCGGCACTGTAGCGTTCGCTTTCGGTGATAACCCACCTCATACCACGATCTCAATACTAAGTGTCTTATTTCCTCCATTCGCCTACTCAACTCTCATCGGCGACATTGCGCGGGCCGAGGCGCAACTCGCCAGCTTTTCGCTCTTGAAGTCCACGGTGTCCATCACTGCCACCTCTGATACTCAACATTTCACTCCGCAAGTCACCGGCTACCTGTATATCATATTCTTCTGTGCCCAAATTGTGATTTATACCGCTGCGTGCTTTGCAGTCGACCACTACAAATGGAGTGTGAAAAGAACCTACGATGAGATTGATTCGTCTAGCGACGTTGCAGTACGTTGCACCGAACTTTCGAAGACTTTTGAAGCAAGCCGTCGATGGTACTGGCCATGGAGCACTGTGGGAAGCAGCCATCTTGCTGTTAACAGTTTGAATCTTGAATTAAAGACAGGTTCAGTTAACTTCCTGCTCGGGCCAAATGGGGGAGGTAAAACGACGACGCTGAAATGTATCGCGGGCATTATATCAGCGGACAAAAGTTCTCGACTGGAGATCAATCAGAATGCCACGTTTTTTGGCGTCTGCCCCCAGCATAATGTAAAAATCACTCCTTCCAGTTATGTACCGAGCTAATATTTGTAGGTTTTCTGGGAGAGACTGACAGTTGCCGAACACGTCAGAATTTGGAGAAAGATTAAAACTGGAGCAAATGTGGTTGGAGGCGAAGATGATGTGCTTGCGGAGTGCGATATCTTGACAAAATCTAACCAAGCTGTGGAGACATTATCTGGAGGCCAGCAAAGGAAACTGCAGCTTGCCATCGCATTTGTGGGAGGTTCCACAATGTGTTTCATCGATGAGGCTTCCAGTGGCTTGGTAGCTACAGCTAATCCAAAGTCTCGACCACTGCTAACAGGTTTCAGGATCCTCTCTCAAGACGCAATATCTGGAACATTATCTCAAATTGTCACTCGCGCCGTACCGTCTTGATAACTACGCATTTCCTTGATGAGGTAAGGAATAAGTCTAGATCTCGATTCTACTTACAATGCTAAGTCTTCTCAGGCCGACATTCTCGCGGACAATATTTCAATCATCTACAAAGGAGGACTTGTGTGTACCGGCACCCCCACTTCACTGAAAGCAAAACACGGACTGGACCTCGAGATCCGCCAGATTGCGACAGAAGATGACGAAGGCTACGAAGAAGATGACGAAAATGATGAATACAAAATGCCTACGTGGAACATGAAGACTTCTACTGAAGCAACAAAGAAGATTCTCGAATTGGAAGAGCTATCAGGTGGTTTATACTCAGCTACCTTCCCGACGCTGGAGCAAGTCTTTTTGAACGTCACCAATTCATCGCTGATCAATGGTAATGGTAACGGAGATGTAGCACTTGGTGATCAGATATCTAGACAGGAGACTGAGCTCGAAGAACTGAACCCAGGAAGTGTGGAGGGAGTAACCCTTGAAGTTGGGACGCAAACCAAGCTATCTCACCAAGTAGGTTGCAAATTCGTCGGCCTGACTATCGTACTAACCACATTCAAGATTCTAGTCATCCTGAAGAAACAATACCTTCTAGCACGGCACAGCTGGATGAGTTATGGCATCGCTCTCGTAATCCCACTCGTCATTACCGCTGCACTAGCCAGCTCGATCTCCAAATTCGAGAGCTTTGATATTTGTACACATAGAATAGATGTTACCATGCGAAATGCAAGCATAGCAGAGTCCATATCTTTGGGAGAGGGTTATGATACTTACGATGTTCTCGGTCCTTTGGATACCCCTGATTTCTACAGTGCTGAGGACCTTGCACACTATGCAATTTCTAGCATTGCTGGACCACCGGCTGCTTTTGATGGCGAAGCTCAAAATATACTTTATGTCGAGAACATGGAACGATATTTTGGGTCACTCACTCTTGAAAAAGAGGGTGTTACTGGAGAACAGAAGGCTCTAGCTACTCGTGGCAATGCATCTTCACTTACAGAAATGATTTCCATCATCAAAGATCACCACGGTGAGCCAGCATTTGGTGTTTTTGTTGACTCGGCCAATGTCACGCTCGTTCATCGAATGTATCCAGAATTCTCCATGGCGGGTATGAACATCATCACAAATCGACTTGCGAACTCCTCGACACAAACTGGAACGGCAAGGAAGGTCAAGACCACGTACCGCAAATTCCGACACGTCAAGTTTGAGCCCGACCCATTGTCAATTCCTATCTTGGTGTTCATAACACTTGGGTTCATATGTAGCACAAGTGTAAGCATCATATATCCGGTATTTGAGAGGATCAATAATGTCAGAGCCTTGCAGTATTCAAATTCAGTCTCGGTAAGTTTCTCCAACGGCTTGAAGATAGTGTGCTTTTGTCTAACATAGAAATAGTCTGCAGCACTGTGGACAGCCTACCTGATCTTCGATATACACATTGGAATCATCACGTCTGTCGTAACATGGGCAATTATATTTTCGGGCGGGAATAGCCGCATCTGGTATGAATCAACATTCATCCTCTTTGCAATACTGCTATTCTGTATTGCGACTTACCTAGGGCTTTATCTCTGCTCTTTATTCCTCCGAAGAGCTGCGTTTGCAGCTGCAGTTGGCGTGCACATCGTGCTAATGATCGTTTATCTCATCGCAGTAAGTGTCCCCCTCTTGATTCTGAATGATTCTAACGCAAAGAAGTATTACGTCAATGATTCCAAGGACCCTGTGAACGCATTCGACATAGCCCTCGATATTCAAGGCGTACTTGGTCTCACCTCGCCAGCAGCAAACCTACTCCGAACTTTCTTCATAGCAACCGATAACTTCGGCATCACCTGCGGCGAGACAGGGTGGTATGATCTGCATCCCATAGCATTTCAACTTTATGGTGGTGTCTACATGAATCTAGTTCTACAGATCATGTTCTGTAGTTTTGTGCTTACGTATATTGAAACTGGAAGCTCAGCATGGTTTTTCAAGCTTCTCCCAAAGAGAAAGATGCCAGCGACTCCAGCACAATTAGACTTTGGTATCGAGGGAAGAGAGTCTCCGAACTTTGAACCCACAGCAGAGCACGATGATGATATCCCCCTCAAGACTCTCAAAGGAAAGAACAATGTACTTGTCCTCGTTGTCTCCAAGATAACCAAATTTTTCAAGTCGCTACTAGCAGTACAAGAAATATCTCTCACCATCTCCACGAATGAAACACTAGCACTTCTCGGTGCCAACGGTGCCGGAAAAACAACAACCATCAACATGATCCGTGGTCTCATCACTCCTGATCATGGCAACATAACTATAGATGGGATCAGTGTCCTCGCTTCGCCTCAACAAGCACGAATTCACACTGGTGTTTGCCCTCAAGATGACGCAATTGACGAGCTCACCGTACGCCAAACACTAAGCTTCTACGCGAGTATCAAAGGTCTGCGGGACGTCAAGGGGAATGTCGACGGCGTGATGCGCGCATTCTGCATAGAAACCTTCGCCGACCGCCTCATTACCAAGCTATCGGGCGGCACCAGAAGGAAAGTTATGGTCGCGATCGCCATCCTCGGGAATCCGCGACTGCTGCTGCTGGACGAGCCGTCGACTGGGCAAGATGCCGGTGCCAAACGCGTTTTGTGGAAGATCTTGCGTTCGCTGAGTAACGGTCGCGCGATCCTGATTACCACGCATAGTATGGAGGAGACGGAAGCACTGGCGACGAAAGTGGCCATTGTCGACAAGAAAATGTTGGCTTCGGGCACGACGTCGCAGTTGCGATCGCGGTTTGGAGGGTTTTATCGCGTGCGGGCGTCTTATGAGGTGGGGAGGGAGACGGAATTGGAGACGGCGCTTAGGGGCATGTTTGGGACGCAGGTGCGGAATCTAAAGTGTGCGTTTGGCGAAGTGGAGTTTGAGCTGCCGTATGAGAGGAAGATAATTGGGAGGATTATGCTGAGTATGGAGACTTTGATGGTGGATAAGGAGGGGTTGGCTGGGATTGAGAGGACGATGGTTGGGCATGATACGAGAAATGTGTCGAAGGTGTTGAGGGATTATACTATTTTAGAGCCATCCATGGACGATGTTTTCTTGAATGTTTGTAATGAGGCCGAGATTGGAATCTTGTAGAGAAATAGAAGATTTTTCTGTAGAGAGAATCAATTTCGAATCTACACCCAGGATATACAAGTTGTCCTAAATAACTCCCAACTTCGAAATCGAGGCTGCCATTAATTGAGGAGAGGCTCGAAATTAATATGAGAGCTTGAATTATTAAACGCGATCTACTTAAACGATTCTCAAACCGTCTCATAGTTTTCACTACCTCCTCTGCTTCATTAAAATCAAATCAATCAACAACGCAAATACACCTCAAAAGAGTTACAGAATAGCGAACATCCCAGTCTATTACTGGACCATGATCAAACTCATTCTAACTCCTCAAATCACCTTAAGCAAGTAAAACCACTCGAATTCTCCTCAACACTACTACAGAGTAACGATTCTCGATGAGTCACTGGGAGTTAACGAGTAAGAGTATTAAGTCAAGTTGAGGAATCTTATGGAGTAATCCGCTGAAGTACGTTACCAATAAGTATGAATTGGATTTTGAAGTGGAGTTCGAAGCTCCTATCTGCAGTCTTACAATCCATAAAGCCCTCGTTCTGTCGGGCGTTCCTTTTGTGAGAGTCTATTAGTGAGTATGTAGACTCACAGAATGACGGAACATTCTGGAAGAAAATACAGTTTTGTATCGAAATTTATCGATTGGAATTTTGAGGGTCTTGTGGAGTCAATCTGCTTGGGTCTTTTCATTTTGAGATATTCATATTTATTTATTTCATTCATGGTATTTACTCCTCAACAATCACTTCTTCTCTTTTCTCCTCCTTTCAATGTTACAGATCCCATCAACTTATCAAAATTAAGACCATGGCTCGACCAGGATAAGTAGGAGAGGAAGGAGAAACTTCTTCGATGTTTAAGCTGCGTTTGATAGAAGTGATGAGGGAAAAGGGTTCACGTAGAGATTATACTATACAACAATTAGATTTTGATAACTCATTAAGATTCCACCAAGATTCACAGGGAAGAAAGCGACAGAATTTGACTCTTCTTTTTGTTTCCATGTCTAATAGATAGTTGAATAGTGAGGGTCTACAAACAAATTACCATGAAAGATTTCTTACTCATCTTAATTCATCATGATCCATTCAACAAGGCAGAGGAAAGATCAAGGATTTTTTCCATCTTGATATTCACTTCGACAGAGAAGAGCCAATGATCAAACAATCCAACCCCACAGCCTCTTCATTCCTCTCTCAACTCACCCTTCATACCCCTCCAAACCCCCTCGCCAACTCAATCAAAACATCACAAACGCGTTCCGGCTGCACAAGCTGCGGACTATGTCCCGTATCCATATCCCTCACGATCCACTCTTCCCTGGTACTTTGCATAAACATATCCTGAAACAGCAACGGGATCCCGGTATCATTGAGAGTTCGAATAAATGCAATTTTTCCTTTGAAAGATTCTTGATCCAGGAGGCGCGTGGACAGGGTGAGTGCCAGGAGGCGTAGCTGGGACAGAGAGTGGAGTTTACGATGGCGTTTGGAAGAGGAGGGGTGTGACGTCGGAGTAGAGGGGAGGGCTGGGGTCGGCGCAGGTGAGTATGCCGGAGGGTTTTTGGTGGGGGTATTAGGGGGAGATAGATGTCGAGGGAGGGGATGGATTATTGGAAATTAGATTCTAGGGATACAGTTGGGGACAGTGTTTCCACCAAGCGCGAAAATGATTCTTTCATCTACTACTAAGTAGTTGTGAAAATGAGAAGACGCTTCTTCACTTCTCCATCCCACCCGATACTCAAACAACCAAAGAGAAATCCTCAAGAACATCTAAGAATCCAAAACAATCGAGAGGAAAAACCAGCAAAAAACTCACATCAGGCGTAATATGCGGCGGAAGTGATCCTCCCAACGCATCAAACAATATTCCCTCCATCACCTCCTTTCACCAATAACGATGCGATATATATCTGTCCCAAAACAGATGTTTTCTTGCCCGCTGCTTCGCGATCTTTTTTGCCTAGTCCGTAGGCGGCGGCGCTGCCAGGGATACCGCTTTTATGGTGGGTTTGTGTTAGCTTTTTTCGGTTTTTCTTACCCTGTGGTCTACAATTTCTATTACTTTCTCTCTCTTCTGAATCTTCTCTTCATCTCCTTCCTCCCCCAACTGCCAAAAGAAAAAAAAACATAACGAAAACGAAAACGAAAACACACCTGTAAGAATGCATAACCATCACGACATCATGCCCCTCCGTATCCAAAATCGGCAGCAACATATGTTCACGCACATACTCTGCATCCACCTGCGCGGTTACATTCTTTGCATTTCCGGGGCCGGTACTAGGGATAATGGCGGAGTAGACGGGGTGGCCGCGAGTGAGGAGGAGGTGCATGAGGAGGCCGTAGTGGGCGGGGGATTGGGAGGCTCCGGGGACGAGGAAGAAGACGGGGGTGGAGGGGGGCGGGGCATGGTTGGAAGGGGAGAGGGGTGAGAGGGAGAAGCGAGGGTGGTGGGAATGGGATAGTGAAGGTTGAGGGTTGAGGTGGGAGCTTGGTATATAGATTATCTACTTGAGACTTGAGAGTTAAGAAAGAGATAATAAAGAGGAATGGAAAAGGCGATGAGAGAAAACTCTTATATTTTGATATGAATACTAGGGAGATATCTTACAACTATCGATCCATCCAATCATTCATTCACACATACATAACACAATATAACATAACACAACACAGCACTTCATCCTCAAGTAATCCACATCTTACCAACTGTTGGATAAATACAATCCGAGTATAACGAGAAACACAAACGGGTATGATTGGGTCGCTAATGTGTTGGTGAGTAAGTAGGTAAGTAAATAAGTAATACCAACAGTACCAACAGTAGAGTATGTAGCCAAGTATCTAGGTATATAAAATACTGTTAGAACCCGTTGGTGGCGTGAAGTTATTCGTGAGTACATCAGGAAGTTGGAAACGACAAATCCTCATACCTCCCCCAAAAGCCAACCGATCGAAGCTCAAATCAACATTCTTTATCTTCCATATTATCCTTCTCGCTCAATTCGAATCATACCTACCTAGGTACATACAGACATAAATCGAAATCTCAACGATACATCTCATCAAAAACAAGAAAACACATTACCCAAATCTCAAGTCCAGGTAATGACTGATTATTTCGTAGCAGATTATCAAAAAGTTATATCTGTTATAAAACAGGGGTTGGTGCTAGTGCACACTAGCAAATATTAGAAAGTGTAAAATATACTCCACAATCTGACCATAAGAATCTTTGAGTGCTATTGGGTAAGCCTGATTATCAGCTTCGCAACCATATCCCACTCGAACATTGGAATTCCATTTCAAGCGGTAGACTTTTCAACACCAGCCGCACTTACCCTTTCGATTCTCTCTAATCACTAAATACCCACCACTAGCAATATTGGATTTCGATATCTTGATCGCTACCGGATTCGCCGACTTACGGAGATGGTCCAGGCTGAGGTGAGTCTCAATTAGTATACGTTAGTCACTAAATACCTATTTCAAAGAAGCGGAATAGCTTCAGGGATTCTTCCGGGTTCTACAACGTGATTGATGTCAAAAACACAAAAGATTTAATTTCGGCATGTGCTATGCCCGGAATGATTTTGCTAGAGATATACAAACTATAGGTGCTATCAAATCAGGATGCAAAAGATTGGATCTCATGCTTTGCATTTCATCCCCAACAAGCAGTATCGTGAAGACTCAGCCAGAAATTTTGGCGATTTAGGGTAATGTAATGGGGGATCTTGGCCATCTACGGAGTCGCTGGAGTCGCGTCGATTTACTCGCATTGAGGTAAAACCATCTCGGGCAAAGCCAGGGTCAGTAGTAGTCAGAAGGGTTCTTGGTGAGATTTATAGACTCTTTGCTCTTGTATATCTAAACCCTGAGATAGTATCTCGTATTTCTTCTATAGTTGTTATCGACGGGAAATATATTCGAAGATTATCCGTCATAATCCCATGCAATAATCATGACAGTTTCCCAGAGCGAGTTTGTCATACCAGTGCCATACTTGTGGTTCCTTGTACTTTTCAGCAATTTTAAATGCTAGGTGTTACTCAAAAACGAGTGACGCATTAAATCAAATGTAAAAAGCATGGTCGTTCATGGAGGGGTCTATATGCTGCCCCTCGTCCGAAAAGAAGGTAGAGCTCCGTCACCTTTTCACTAAATTTTTCATTACTACCTGTTGATATCGAGAAAAGGGGCATCATCTCTTCTATCTTACTTTTTATCGAGGTCGTCCAAGCTTCGATTCCGGACGTACTTCCATAGCTTCTCAAGCCTAAGAGCACTATCACTGGACTAACCAATTCTACCACTATTGGCAATTGCTCGCTTTATGCCCTAAAAGTGGTGGTGCATGTTTGACCACTGTATCGGTAAATAATCTAACCTAAGCACAGCTTATATCATGGAATTCAGGCCTCACTTCAACATGCTAGTGAGTGAATCTTCGCCAGAACTTTGTATGCTCTGCTCGCCGGGTCTAAGATCAGACCATGCCTATATAAGATAGCTCACCCCGTAGTCTTCCTGTACGTAGTTTCATCATTTGTTCATGAAAATGACGATTTCAAACCCCCTTCGGTCTTCGCGTGGCTATGTTGAATAGTCCTGAGTCATTATTTCATGCTCCAAAACCCTCATCCCGAGTAACAACGCCCGAAACACCCGAATTGAGATCGCTCAATGCCCATCTTGTGTGTCAGTGCATTGCCGTTTGACCTGGCGCCAAATGGGTTCTGTTTGTTGCCGTAGATGAACCCGTTCGCTTGGTCATCTACACATTGGTACCGCATTGGAGTGTATCGCATGCTTGATCCGTAGACATGGACTATAACCCTAGGTCTTGCGTTGGCAGCTCGGTCATGCCAATCGAGAGTATCGCGTATATCACAAAGAACATCGCGGTAGTTTCCACGATCACCGACGATTTCCAAAAAAAACTTAATCGACAAATCGTAGTATTGTCGGAAGCGCACCGAGCAAGGATAGTAAATCAGGCCCATCTACGATGAAATTTGATAGACCGAAATATTTGAGCTTCTGCCATCGATCAAGAGGGAAGACGGGTTGAAGTGGAATGCAATTTTGCTCGAAATCGGGATAAATTTGATTTTAATCAGCAATTATTTGTAGTCTAAATGCTCTAAGTCAGGCGCTGCCTCGAATATTTTTTTCAAGTGACCACTGCGGAAACTGAACCAGTCGTCAACATAATCCTGTCCACCAGCAAGTAGGGCGAGATATATGCGGCAGAAGCCTGGCTGTTGAAGTAGATGAACAAGATTATCATACTCCTCACATGGTTCATCATAGACACGACAACTCATTCCTGTTTCGAGTTCTCTAACATCGATGATTAGCTCTAGGATATGGTGGTCATTCCATCCTGCAAGTATGTTGGTGATAACACAAAACCCTCGCCACCGTTTCTTAGCAGCCCATGGAGGCAAGGCATGAAGTCCAAATGGTCCAGAAGATGGCCAGTCGCATGGGATTGGATAGTTGAAACCTTTTGGAAAAGATTTTATCATGGGCGTTTCGTAAAGCGGTCGATCCAAACTACCATGAGCGGCGGGCGTAATAGTAATTCTTCGTAGTGATTGAAAGCGCTCCAACACATACGTCAATGCATTAAAATCAGCCCCAGATCTTAGCACTTCTTCCTGCTGCTCTAGAAGCGTCTCGTAGTAACTCCATGATTCAGAAAATGGCAAAAACTATCGTGTCTTTGGCCTGTCTCTTGACTCTTTTGAAATTTCTTAATTTATCACTTGAATTCCTAATGTTGTCCTTGCAAGCTCGTATAAACCAGGTAGTAGGGTCATCTTCCGCCCGAGGAGGACTCTGCTAGCATATGAATTGCTTCATTGGGCCTCACTATATCGTGGGCAAGTAGAGCATCATCCCATATGATCTCTTTGACCCCTTTGCGAAACTTTTCGTTATCAGCAATTGCTCTTGCAATTTCAATGTTTCGCGGATTGGCAGACAAGAAAACCCTTTCGAAATGGAGAGGAACTTTCTCGCCCAGAGCCTTGCACGTCAGACGAAGGCTCTTGAGATCCGGATTAGGGAGGTAAGAGACGATAGCAGTGGGAAGCTCAGGGACAAGGAGCACGAGATTTGATGTAAATGACGAGTTGGACATAATGATTATAATATCTGAGGGATTGGTTAATTCATTTGGGGACGAAGAGGGGAGTGGTTGGCTTTTGATTGCTTGATTGATTACGCAGGTGATATTGGATAACCCAGAAGGCGCTAAACTCAACTAGAAAATAAAGAATATCTGAATATATGTAATTCGAAGTCAAACTTAAAAAAAATCAAAATACGGGAAAGGTCAACATTCGATTGTATCTTTATATACCTATGTAACGATCGCGAACTCGAAGGGGCTTACAACGACCTGAAACTATCCAATTGGCTACCGCTCTATCTACGCTCCTTTCTTCTGTAGAGAGAACCTCGATACCTTTTTCTCCTTCTCTGCATCTTCCCAGTCGTCGCGATCTTCAATTTTAAGAATTACACATATACAAACAACCAATACCAGTGCATCTGTAACCTTACTCCATCCATATCCTCCCCTCCCACCAAACAGTGGATCACTCACTCACTCACCACAACTTCAAGCCATCCAAGCACAAAACAAAATCCACCGACCCACCCATCACTCATACCCCGCTCCAAAACTTCCCCTCTCGCTTTCACCTCAAAAACAACACCACTCAGCCCAGATTCCTCCCTTCTTTACCCCGGACAAAAACATAGCTTCCAGTAGATAACTGGAATCAAAAGAGCAAAATACATATCTTCCGAATCCGGGAATCGAACCCGGGGCTACTCGGTATCGTATCATGTGATAATGAAAGCGAGTTATGTTAACCCCTACACTAATTCGGATTCATATTTGATGGAAAAGCTGTCAATATTTGTAGATATATTTAAAGTTAGTACTATGAGTGGGAAAAATGGAAAATATAATGATGATGATCTCAAGCAGTGGAAGAAGAAACAGAGATATACCCAGTATGTGATAGATAGTATAAGACAATGTGACAATGTATATATAACATAATCAGAGGGATTCAAAAGTCAAGAGGACGAATCATATGACCATGTGTCAATCAATGTACCTATAGATCAATTAGCACAATCCGAATCATGAGTACTAGGTAGGTAGGTAGACTCTTCTCGACCTGTTTCCCCTCCCCTCCTCCAAAGTCTTCATATTTTGTGAACAAATAACATCTATATCTCCATTTACAAACACAATTTTACAATCCACTCAATACATATAGCTATCCATAAGAGAGACTACGCATTCTCCATATTTCATTCCTATAGAAAAAAGGTAGCTGCACAAACCTCACCCAATTTTCTCATCCAAAAAATCCTCAAGATAATGATTAAATTCAGCCCAATACAGATATGAATACAAATACTAATCTAATCCCTCCCCTTCCTCCTTCCCAAACTTTCGCTTCCCCTCCACCCCTCCACTCTCATCACCCCTAAACAAATCATCCACAACCCACGACCTCTCGTCACCTCCTCATTCAAGCCCCCTCGCCTACTCACGCTCTAATCACTTCAAAATTCACATCCACCTCACATAAAACACCATATTCTATTCTTTCTACACCCATTTCTCTGCTCCTCGAAATTATATCCATACATATCTATGTACTCATCTTCCCCCATCCCCTTTTCATTTTCATTTTCATTTTCCTTTTCCTTTTCCCTTTTCTCTTGTTCCCAAACCTCATATTATCTAATATCTCCTTACCCACCTAGATGATATAAAGCTCGCATTCCTAGACACTCATCGATCCGTCACATCAACTCACACTGGGACTTTGCCCAAGTATCAGTATACACATAGACTCATTTCTTTATTTCTTCATCTGTTCTGTTCTTTCCAGATCTATCATTTCTGTATTCCTCTCTATACCCTAGTCCAAGATCCATGCACTTAAACATCTAAACATATGAACATTGAACCCCAATGCATACTATGTAAGTAGGCAAATAAAAACTCCAAAACCCATATTCTATTGAAGGAAAATGCCATTCTCAAGTGATACCACATCAGATCATGACTTCAATAAACTGCCATTTCCTCATCCCAACCCCCCTTCCCTTCCCAGCCCATTCACAATCATCCCTTTCCCTTCCCTTTATAATTCGGCTGCCTCTCATAAGCATTCGGACTTCTTTTTCTTTCTTTGCCCTTTCCCTTTCCTTTCCCATGTCCACATCCATCTCCATGTTGATGATCGTGATCATGATCATGTCCATCACCTTTTCCTCTACCTCCAGAAGGTTTCGCACTCCCATCATCATCATCACTACTACTATCGTCACTATCACTCGAACTTTCATCCGAGGATTCATCGATAGCTCGAGGAGCGTGGTATATGCAGCAAACTATTGAATTCTCGTTAGTTCACACATTCCAAGTAAAGATATCAACCATGTAGATTCCACCTCGTCCCTTTCGTCCTTGAAGCAAGAGCCTCAAATCACAAATCCGAAAGACTCCAAAGAATAGAAAAATGAAGCAAAATACCTTTACTCTTCTTCCTCCCCAACCCTTCATTATCCACCACATCTTCCGCCCACTGAATCCTCCTACCTCTTCCTAAACCCGTTTCTCCATCCGCACTACTTTCACTTTCTGTATTTGGCGCACCTCTTAAACGTAAAACCGGTGTATTTGTATTCGATTGTGATTGCGTGATTGTTAAACTTCCGCGGTTCTGTGGAGCCGTTTGTGCTTGTCCTTGAATCCGGGTTTGTGTTCGGCCTACTGGAGGGGTAGAAGTTGAAGCCATTGTTATGGCGGGGTCGATGAATTATTTGGAAGAAACTTCGTATGCGTGAGAGGCTGGATATCGGGATAGAGTAGGTATGTAGGTAGGTAAATTTAATTCGATGATGGTGCAGAGAGTGGTTTGAATGTAGGTTACTCGCAGATATCTTCTTTTTTCTCCTTCCTCTTATTCCTTATTTGTCTTTACTACCACTTCTCACGATAAATAGGTATCGTAATAAACCCACTCACGAATTCTCGCAATTCTTTTCTCTTCGAAAGTCCAAGGGTTCTCCAGATTCTCAAGAATCTGATGCTGTCTGCTGGTATTCGATAATCTCCCTTATCCCGAAGTCTTTGATTTAGAATCACGTCCTCGTCTTCCTATCCTATGATATAGTACCGTGTCGTGTCGTATCGTGGCGTATCGTATCGTAATCCCACCAAATCACACCCTCCGCCGTATCTCTCACCCAATAAATCTTCGTCGCAGAAACTAGAGTCTCAGAACCGCGTAGACGCAATCGCAGACACAAACGTACAATGTCGCCCAATTTCTTCCAAATCGCTCACAAGCCTTCTTCAAAGTCCGCGACACAAATCTCTCTACTTTGTATAATTCTTTCACTCTTTTCTTCGACTTCGTCTTTGTCCTTGTCTTCGAGATTCGGTTTCGAAAGATATGCGACGAGTTCAAGTCCTCGAAGTAGGTAATCGAAGTAATCTGATTCTTCCCTGAACTTCTTTCCTTTTCGTTCCTTACGTTATTTTCTTCTCTCTCGTTGCCTTTTCCTTATTTCTATTCTTCTCCTTCTTAATCCTTTTATCCCTCTATCAGCTCAACACATTAAACCACCTTTCAAATCCCCAAAGTAAGTGAAAAAGCAAAAAGTATCCTAGTTTAACTCAAAAGAATTCTAATTTTAATCCTAATCTTCAGCCCCACGTATGCAAATCTCTAAATCTCTAAATCTCAAACTCAAAATTTAAACTTATCTGTATCCTCTTGAGACTTCTGTCATCATCATGTCATGTCATGTAAATCAACCAGTCGCATAAATTATTCATTATCAACCCCTCCCCGTACAAAAATATCCGAGGCTGAGGCTGAGGCTGAGGCTGCGCTGCTGTGGCGTCGTGATTTAGTACTCCAGCTACATATGATCTTACTAACTTACAAAACCTTCAAAAAGAAAGAATAATTTCATATCAATAAAATTCACTATCATATTAGATATTATGAAGTATTAAAATAAATATAATATATTAAAAACAAACTAAAATACTTAAAATTTAAATTTAAAAAATAAAATTTATAGTTATCTTTTGATATAAAATTATACTTTATTTACTTATAAGCTATTCCGTAAGTCTATACCCCTACTAATAATCTTTAATCGAAATAAGAAAGATAAAAAAACCTCTTTCAATAATATAGATATCGTCTTATTAAGACTCAAATAAATACAAATTACTATATCTAATTTCTAGCTTAAAAGACTAAGAAAAATCTTAGAGTAATAGTTAGAATAAGAGTTAGACAATTAGTACTTATTCATGAACTTAATGATAAGTCCTATAAACAATCGCTTATTCTTCTAGTGTGCGTCCATAACCCTTCAACTGATCTCGATAAATGGTATGTGCATGAAGCCTCAAATCCCCGTATTCATCATTGGTCTGTGGTGCGCTGCTGAATGTTAGCTTCCTACACTAGACCACGAAGTGATGATTTGAGAAATCTCCAAGAGAATATTCTCATATACTTGAAATCAGAGAAAAGGATGAGAGTAAAATGTTACTTACTATTCCACCCAAAGATTTGGGCCGTTGATGCGGAAATAGGACTCGCCGTTCTGGTTATCCTCCTTTGTGGTGGGACCGCTCCACGCAAAGTAAGTTTCGTTCAGACCAGCTTTGATCTCAACCAAGCGGGGCGCGTAGTGGACTGGGTTGAGAAGGCCAGCGCATTCAGACACGAGGTCGACAACCAATGCTTGCTGGGCTTCGGTGAAAAGGCTCACACTGACACCTTCTGTGATGTACTCTTCGCCATCGTGACCAGGTCCAAGAGTGAGGGTGCTCACATCATGAGTGATGTTGGCTTGTGCGAAGAGGCTGTCGTCAAGAGACCCGACCAGAGAAAATGCGATGTCATTCTCTGCCGCCAGCACGCGGTTGGTGACGTTGTTGATGGCTGGCAAGCAGCCGGTCAACAGTGGAGCGATGACGGCCTTACTGCCATACATGGCCATGTTGATCCCAAGATGATGTCCGCCGAACTGAATCATCCAAAGAGACGTCAAACTAGGCTCCCCGAAAAAGCCTAG